ATTTAGAGGGTTTCCTTTGGAGTTACTATGCTTTGTTGGTTTTTCTTTAAAGTAACTTTTTGAGTTATTTTGTATCACACTGTTTGTTTTGCAGACTCTTTCTTTATGTAGATGAGTTTGTAAATTAGATCAATTTTATTTGTTTCTCTGTTTAAACTTTGTTTTTGTTTTTTACCTGTTTAATTGAGGCCTGGTCCACTCAAGTGCAGGTGTGTTGCCAACTGATTATATAAGCCCTGAGCTCTTGGAAGCTCAAGGAATATCCAGAGCCGATATCGAAGCAGAACCAGGTTGGAGAATAATCCAAGCCAAGGTCGAAACACAGCTCAAGTTCGCTTAACCATCAGAATCCAGGAATCAGTCCAGAATAAACAATATTGACAGAGTAGAAAAAGGTTTAAGCAAAACAATTCAAAGTCAAAAACATGTCAGAATCAGAATTTCAGAACAAATATAAAGAAAGCTAGAGTTACTCTAAAAAACAGCTTAAATAATTTGGCACCGAAGGTAGGCAAACAGGCAGCATAAGTAGAAGCAGGAACAGGTGGACAAGACTAGTGTAATGAGCTGCCGGGCGAATTAGACAGGTGACAGGAGTAAATGATAATGCCAACTTTCAGCCCAAAGATCATGACAGGAACACATTGTCTCCATCATCATTGTTTGGGCTTAGGAGTCAATTGGTGGCAAATAGAGATTTGTTCAAATAAAAACTGTAATTTCTTGAACAGTTCCTGAGATATAATCAGCTGAAACCTGAAACAAAGCACTTAAAAAAATTACTATGCTATAACAATGTTTCTATGAGGCTCTGTTATTAAAGTGAAAGCAATATTTTTGTTTATTTAGCATGTTGAGAGAGAATAAAAAAGTGGTTATTTTTTTTCCAAGTCATATTTTCTCTATATTAATCATACATTTATAAATATCAAAGTTCCAAATTGAATATGTAGATGGTCCCTTACATATTTTTTTCACAAATGAAATATTTCACAAATTAAATATTTTAACTTTGTTGACTAAATATTTAAGAAAAGAAAACTCCTTATATGATTGTTCGCATGCATACATAGCTGATAGATAATTATTTACAGTTCTATTTATCTTAATGCATAATTAAAGGTAGCCCTGTTTTCTGCCATGTGATTTCATGGAAATGCCTGACTTACAGGAAATCAGCTGCCTTCTCTGCCCCCTCCCCGTTCTGATGCTGCATGCAGCTCTCAGTTTGCTTCTTTCAGTTTGCTCCCTCCGGTCTGTCCCAGCACAGAACTTCCTGCCGCATCAAGACCGGGGGGGGGGCA